GACAGTTTGCCTAAAGACACGTTGCCTAACGGACACTGCCTAACGGACAGTTTGCCTAATGGAGTTTGCCTAATGCCAATTTTGCCTAATGTCATTTTGCCTAATGGGCGTGCGAGATTGTTAGATGCACCCGTTCAGAACGTGTTGAAAATGTTCTGAATAGGCGCGTTAATTAATAGATAATTAATTCTATTCTTATGGGAAATGTGCTGTGTATGAATCCTTGGTAACTTCATTGGTCAAAACTTGACTTTGATTGAAGCCATCAAAATCGCCAACGTTGATATGTAGAGGTGTTTTAACAATGAGATGAACATTCCCAACATGTTCTGAGTGGGTGCGTCTAACAATCTCGCACGCCCATTAGACAAAATGACATTTGTCAAAATTGCCGTTAGTCAAACTGTCCGTTAGGCAACGTGTCTTTAGGCAAATTGTCCGGGTACCATTTTCGACATGTTATACATTCGCAACTATGAGATCATTCGGGATGTTCTTAACTCAGAAAAAAAGAAAGATCATGACTCAGAAATCTTGTCGCGACTCTTGGGAGTAGGTCATTTCGTCTAACGACATTTCATCGAACGGCCATTTCATCTAACGACACCTACCTAATGGACATTCCGCCGAACGGATGGTTAAGTGTAACCAGAAATGCGGCCGCGGCCTAGAGATGGATCTCCACCTCAGTTTAAGCATAAACCTCTCAAGGAAAAATCACAAAATTTTTAGACGAGTTACATATAATCCAAAACCAAGAAAATCGTGTGCATAATCCATGCGCAACAAAAGCAAGAAAATAAACTATGTTCATCATATGAATATTCTATAACTTGATTAAGAAATCAACAATCCCCAAAAATTCCGAAAGCAGGGTCAAGAGATCGAACAACCACTGAATGCTCGGAGCTAACACTCTCGAACGCACATTAGGCGAAATGTTATCAAGCGAAATGACCGGACACAACCACTCTTAAATCCTTGAGGAAAAGAATGATGCAGACATACGGGTGGGAGAACTTCGAGCTCGTCAGAATACAGCCTTGCTCATTCATCCAGATCGAGCCGATTTGAATCATTTCGGATCAGTAAATATTATAGGCAAAAGTAACTAATCTAACTGCTCCTCCCCGTCGAATTTCCTCACTAAATTGCATATGAATGTGTCAACTTTACGACTTGTTACTGACATATTTCATAATAAATGAGAATATTACAGAATATCGATCCTAACAAAATCAACCAACCTTTGGGTATTAGAATTAGAAGGTTTCCCAAAGTAGTTGAAAAATATTAGTTGTAAGAATCTGCGATAGTAATAGTAATGATGATGGCAATAACTGCGATCGTAATAGTAATGATAGCGGCAAAAATATTTTAATTCAACGACGCTGACTGACTAAATGCCGTGTATGTGTGGTAGAGGAACGTCAGAAAGTTTATTAGCAGAAAGATATTTCGAGAAACAAGTTTTCGAATGCGTTGTTAAGTCATACAAGCACCAATTGCACTGAAATTTTAAAAGGCCAATAAAACGTTCTGAAAAAACTGAACAAACAAATCATTAGAAAAAGTTTTCCATTATACTCAAAGTAAACAAAAAATTTCGCATATTAAAGGAATACAAGAATAAAAGGAATTCAATAATTTCATACAATACAAGAATTCAACTACTTTGGAAAACGAGCAACAATTACGGTGAACCTAGGGAAGGTCAATGAAACGTTCTGAAAAATATGAACCAACAAATCAATAAAAAGAATTTCTAATGCACTCAAAGTAAACAAAAGAATTTTGAACATCTATCTGAATCGTATGAAAGTGATTTCTCACTGTGAATCACTTATGATCAGTGATGTGCACGTCAGCGAAAAAAATAGCTGCGATAATCGCTATCATTAATCGCTACTTTCAAATCATCCCTCAAAATTTGCAATAGCACGATCGATTTAACCGCGAAAAATCCTAATTGCATCATGAACTGTTGGAAAATTCTACTTAATTATTCAGCAACAAGAAATCTACTCGACAATAAGCACCAGTCAATGATGAAAACAAAGTTCAATAATAAAAAAATAACGACGAAGTGACGACAACAAAATTTAAAAATGAAAAACAATCAGCTGGCAGCAGTCTACACTCACCTCATTCCCTCTCAAAAAATCAACATGCTGAGCATTTCGTCTGAGGGTCTGTGAATCGTATGGTTCTGTTGTCATCGACTGGCTCGCTTCTTTCATGAAGAAAATCAGCTATCATCAGATCTCTAAAACAAGGATTCCAAGAAAGAATCCGCAAAACTACCGCCCCATCTCATTCAGCTGCTCGGTTTTTTGAAATTATGGAAAAAATAAGTGCAGACAAACTGAGAAAGTATATTGCAATTGATGAGCTGTTTTCACACTTCAGTTACGGCTTTCTTGATTTTTTTCGAGCACGTAGGAACCACATAAGTTTTCTGTGGTCTTTTTTGAACACATAAAAACCACATAAGTGTCGTTTTTGAACACATAAAAACCCATAAACTGTGAAAACATATTAGAAGAACAGTTTTATTTCCATGAAAGTTTTGCGGAAGCAAAATATTATGCAGAATGCAATTGATTGTTGTGAAATGCATTCATCATTCCAATTTGGGCTGATTGAAATCACGTTGGTTACGTTGGTTCCATTTTTGTGAATTGTTCAACTGAAAGGGCTGATTGAAATTAAAATTTTATTTTTATCTTTCTGAGATGATCGACGCTGAATAAATGATAGTGAACAAATCAAAATTTCAATAAATATCCACCGAAGTGCCGTGAATCGCAAGCAGGCAGCCAGCCATCTGCTAGCAACGAAGTGGAATTTTGAAACTTATTCAGTTGCATGAAAAGAGGCGATATCAGATCCTAGAAAGTCATACTTGACCGAGGATTTAAGTTCAGTATTCTATAGCAACTTATGGAACTAATCATTATGTGCAAGCTCTCAAACAGATAACAACGCATTTTTGTTGGTCATCTAGTTGATGATACGGGACGAAATGATAAAAGCGAATTCGATCAATTTTAAATCAGCATTGATAGGAGACATAAAATTCGATTCTTGAACAATTCTTCGGTTCGTTATTCGAATTACTGCGTGGAGGATCTAATCCTTTTTTTAATGTTGGCTTGCTACTTGCCGCTGAAACGATCGAGTTTTTAAGTGCTATGTTGGAAGGGAATAGTAAATTTAATGTATAAAAAGGAGGTAAAAATAGAGATGAAAAATAAATGAAAAGGAAATAAAATTTGATACAAATGTACCGAAAAATGTGTCATTTTATGTACAGTACGAAAAATGTACCAAAAGAAAGATGATGCATGTAACGGTCGAATTCTAGCAAAATCTGATCTGATTTTGCGAACGAAACTTGACAAGATGGTCAATCACTTGTTTATACCTAAAAATTTACAAACATCGACAGAATTTGTATGTTTTTCCATACATAAATTTGACTAGCTAAGTAAATGTATGCAAATGTAAACTTAAATGTCAAACTTGTCACACATCGCGAATAAACTGTTACCAGAATGTTTCATGGGTTATTAGCCCAATCACACTTTCAAACAAGTACGTGAGTCTCATTTTTTGAGAGGAAAATAATCATAATATGTAATGAGCATTATGCTTCTTGAATAAATGTGTAGTTGGATAATGTTACAACTATCTATGCAGTAGGTATGTTTGAGCACCTATCTACCTACCACTTGAACAAGACGCAAAAGCGATAGCAACTGGATAATACACTCACGTTTGATGCGTGGTGCTTGTTGAGGGAAACTGCGATAAATAAACGCTCTCTGAATACATCGGTTGAAATGCATATCCACCAAATGCGTGTTATTGGTTATCCATTCATGCATATGCCGGCAGCTATCAAACGGGATTGAGTTGATTGAATTGAGTTGACTACGGCTCGGTTCATGATTTGTATGGTTAATGAAGTTGTCTTGTGCGTATAAATAATAATGATTGGTTCTCGATTCTGAATGCTTGGTTTTTATATGATTTTGAACTTGTTAAGATTGCAATGTATTCCAGATGCGTTTTTAAAGGATTTAATGTTGGTAAGTGAATGGAATGTTTGAGAAATTATTATGCTGATGGCTTGAACATGCGTGCAGACGATTGATTTCGGGGGTGGAATCCCTGCTGAAAACACGATAATTATTAATTTTAAGAAGCGCTACCACTGACGCTTTTGTTTTATGAGAGGAGCTGAGCTCATGCATGATGACCTGTTATCCACCGTATTACATTGCCCCTTTCTAAGGAATTTTTTTTCTGGTTAGACTGTTGTGCTATATTTTTATTGTTGTTGTTGTTGCTGCTGCTGCTGCTGCTGTTTGTGATAGTTGTTTAATTAAAGCGATAGCAATCCATCTCATTCCAAATGAGGACGAGATAAATGAACAATGAGACGAGAGTAGGCGATTCTTCGGCATTGATAGAGCAGTAATGTGTTATATAATACCAGCACACTCAAACATGTGTGTATTCATTTGTTTCGTTTTCAAAAGACAAGGCTATAGAGCAAAAAGTGAATTTGAAATATTGACAGTAAAGAGATAAAAGGGTAAATAATAGTTAAGCGGTTGGTATTGGACGGAGTTAGGAGGTTCAATGAGCCCTTGAATGACTCCTTAGTGGCTAGAAGAGATAAATGGACGGATAGATGTACGATTGGACGACAATGAATGAATGAATACTCTTATGGCAGCAGGAGATGTCGCATTCCAAAATGATGGATGTGTCACCGATGAGTTTATGCAACTACTGGCAGCAGCAATATCCAAGCACGCTCCTCTTTTGCGCTACTGATATTCCTGGAAGTCAACTTATTGCTATTGTTGCTGTTGGCCATTCTCATCAGCACCATCGTCACTTTTCGAAAAAGTTTCTTTTCCTCGTCGGATTTGTTGCAGTTCTCCGACGAATTCTTCACCGAATTATCTATGTATCCGTCCATACATTCTCAAACAAACATCTTTCAAAATGGACCATAACCAATGTGATCTTAAGTGAGCAGTCATCAGAATTTCATTTTCTAGCAGCATTTTGATTCGCATATTCATCAATACATTCTTCATTGCCCATTTGTTTTCAATGTGAAGCGTTTTTTTTTCTATATTTGCGTTCGTATGATATACGTGCGGGTATTTTATCGTCTGCTCAACAGATTGAATTACTGAATTGCTAGCGGAAAACATCCAAAAAATAAGATTGAAATTCAGCTAGCTGTGTGTTATGTGAGGGTGCAAATGCAAAAACTAATTTTTTTCATTCTTCAATCAATCAAAATGAATTGGAATTTTTCCGGAAGAGCGTAAAGAAAGCAAACAAAAATTATTGTTGAGGAGAGGATGATGCTTCGGTTGCTTGCAACCAACCATCCATCCATATATTCATTCGTTCAGCCGTTCAGCCATTCAGCAATCAGCATTATCATCAACGAAATTCCGCCTGTTCGTTAATGCGTAATAATCACTGCTGCTTACGTCTTCTTTCAATGTTTCGCCTCCAATTTCCAGTGCTTCTGCTTCGCATTATTCTTCTCAAAGCAGTACATGATCGTCGTAGACGTTTTGTGTCTGTTCGTCGTCGTCAAAATTTTAGTTCTTCGTTCTAGCGATGTTTTGAAGTTTTTTCTTAAACGACTTTCTCAGTTACTAGTTTAGGATAGGTGAATATCATCCATGAAAGGTTTTAGTTGCAAAGCCTTTTATGAATGATAAATCGTGCGAATAAGATAATAAAGGAGCGGAGTGAATGAATATTTGATGTTTTATGAATTGTGAATCGGACGAGGAGAATTCATCATAAAAATCAGTGATTAGTTTCAGTTCAGTCGTGTTGAGGTGATAATGCGGATACTGGAAAGTTTAATTATTTGGAGTAGAAAGCGAAAAAATGCTGCAAAGGTAACATTGTTATCGACGAGCACTTCCACCACGACAGACAACACTAATGAACGCATAAGATTTATCAAGGTAAATAAATCACTAATTAATAATGCTTGATCCTGACCAGCGATTTATCCAGTAATACAGAATTCAACGCATCATTCCATTTCGTAGAGTACAATTTGATCTACTCAAATGAGCAACAATTGATGAGTAACTGGTGAGCAGCAGTACTCATACGAAGGCGCTTATATTATGCAAACATGCAAAAGACTGTTCCAAACATGATGTTTGTGTGGATTTGATGGCTCTGAGCTGTTCGAAGAAGATGTGTCGTTTTTTTAAAGTTGTAATTTGATTCTGATTTGCAATAGCAGGCAACAGTGAAGAGAAAAATAAACCGATGCAAGAGCATTAACAAGCAAAGAAGGAAAGAATGGAAAATGATATGATGACGAAAAATTCTTTTGTTTGTTTGGAATGAGCATTTTAAATGGAATTGTGCGAATTTGAATAGATTCAAACTGAGCCATCATTTGAGCGAGACTTCGTTAGATAAATTAGAGTTATTCATCACTGGGAATGCCATTCTATTTCTGATAAGGACGACTTAATCGCTCAGTAAACTGAAATTGAATTCGCCACTTTCTGAAATGATCTCATCGTTCCCATAGGAAGATATATAGATAGGTAGATAGATGGTAGATGAATGGATAAGCAGTTGAAAGAAAAATGAGTAGAGATGGATAAAATGTAGCCGAAGACAGTACAGCAGCTACATAACTATTGGTCTGACTTATTCCGGCTGTTCGAAATGAAATGAAACAACGACCAATCAAAGTAACGGCACGCACAGCTCTTTCTTCATTCTCTCGTTTTTTTCCCATAAGATGATATTTGTTTCAAATTAATCACTTTCACTCATAGTAGTTCAAATACTATATTAGATGTGTTACGGCTGCACACTTTCCTTTCATAATCACCGCAGCCTTCCTCTTCCGCTATCATGCAAAACCAATAAATGCGATATTTTTTATTACCTACTCTTTTTCGTCAGTCGCTCCATTCAATATCAAACTGAGCAGCGATCAAGAATTAAGGCGCTGTATGTTGTATTGCCCAGTTTCTTAAGAGTCACTTGTCTTTGATAATTGATGCGTGCAGTTGACAATTAAGATCAAATTTAAGTCTAAATCGTCACGAAAAAGTACTGCTCGAAGTGAACAGCACAAAGTGAATAACTGTATGTGTAGGTTGCGAGTAATGCCTGCGCATATGATAAGTAAGGCAACTGATGGTATGAATTTGTACGTTCATCCACGAATTGCTGAATACTCAGCGTCAAAAGGCGGTGGCTCAAGGCATCTTCTTGTAAATAGTGGTACTGAAAGGTTGGTCTCTTCACTGATTGCATGCTAGCAATGAATTCTTCCCGAAATGATCAGCGATCCTAATAAATTCAAACATTACGCAAAATTAGTCTTCACCTCAAATAGTTTATATCGCTTGAAAATTATCACTGAAAACGAATGACAACAAACAATCGATTTGTACAACTCAGTGCTTTTTCAGGATAGTCATAAAGATAAAATGTAGTAATAACGACCTGTATCGAGTCTCACCAGTTTATTCGTTTCTGAATCCTGGTAGAGCACTTCGATTGTATGTGAGTATTTATGCTTCCAGTTCATTTTTTGATTAGTGCCATGAATTCGTAACTGCATCTAGATCAGTTGCAGCTGACGTGTGATCAATCTTTTTGATGTTCTTTGCTAATGTAACCTCATTTCTCTCATTGCAATAATGCATTATTGTTACCGATCATTATAGATTGTTCGTGATCCGGGTCCGGCTAAAGTTGATAAATTGATAGTGATTTATATGAGTAGTGCTTGTAAAAATCCACGTGAGGCTTTTGCAACGAGCAGCGAGGACGTGATTGGTGCAGGTGATGGAGTGACGAGCACGAGTAATGGTAGTGGTGAGAGGCGAAAAAAGGTGTTGATCGCTTTGGTTGCTCATGATTTATCGCATAGGATGATTGTTGCTTCGTTGCTTACCAAATGAAAGATTGTAAAAGAATTGGTATGTTATATTTGCTTAGAATAAAATACTTCTTGTATGACTGCACATTTATTTTGCATCTTTCTACCTTGCTTTTGAAAGTGCTTCGTTGATTCTTGATTTGAGTTCGCTGAGAAATAAACAGAAGTGCTTTTATCGAATTTATTTGAACGAACGATCACAAATGCAATGAATACACAAAGAACTCTACAAATTGTTGTTGGCGTGTTGCGTGCCAGACAAATACGCAATTTTGGTTAGGTCCAACTGATTGATATAGCAAATTTCATAAGTGAATTTGACAGTGAGTTTATTAAACAACATAAATATTGATCCTCCATCTTTGTTTTTCTTGATTTTTTTGTGTTTGATGATATTATTGTTATTTGGTTGTAATTAGGGATTGATTCGTTGCTTTGGGATTCAGTTACGCTCTCATTTCGCCATGAATTGAGTTGAAAGTAAACCAGGTTTGATGCAATCATTGGAGCATTTTATGTGATTTAGTTTAGAGCATTTGATCCCTTGATTTCGACCTATCGGATATGCAATAAATTTCTCGGTGGTACTATTATTTTTACTGCCATAGTTATTATAAACATCGTCATTACTATTAGTAGACTTTGTTTATCTGTTGAAGAATCGTCTCCATTACGCCTGCACCGCCCTCAGCCAATTCAGCCATAATTTGCTATGACGACCAGTAAATGATCCGTGAAAGATTCGGACGATTTTTAGTGATTATGTATTGTCCAGAAAAGATTCAGCATTCTCTGATTGATTTCTTAAGTGAATTTCAGTCTTTGCATATATCAGCCAGTTACGTGATCACCGTCGCGTCTTCTTTCTGAATTTCACTCGGCGCTTTATACAGTTTTTTGTTTGCTTCCGCAAGCAATTACTTTCTTGAACACTGCCACTTTGAATAAATGAATAAGTTAAGTGAATATTTCCACACTCAAATCTGGTCGGTATTCATCCGTTTGTTTGATGTTTATAGCTGTGCTTTTAATTGTGGTCTTGATTTTATTTGAACGTATAAACTGTTTATTCGTTTGATGCAGACAGATATCGATGATCAAAAATGAGTCAACTGATAATAATAATAATAATAATAATAATAATAATAATTATGATAATACGGTAAACGGTAAAAAGTAGGAGTGATTCGAACGATAGCAAGAATAATGGCAAATATAACTGTGATGTAGAAGAGGAGTAGTATAAGTTCAGATTGAAGGTTGAATAATTTGTGTGAACATGCATAGTTGCTCGATTGATTAGAAATTGTAATAATTACATTGCACCGAAAATGAATTAAACATCCGTAAATTAGTTGATAATTACAGATAACGATCTTGACGGTACAATAGATATCACCAAAGGCCTCGGACCCACACGCGACCCCTGTTAGCACACTGAGATCATGCTCTGCCAAATGCTGAGCCACTGCTGCTCGATCATGAGGGAGAATTGAATTGGCTAGTATCAAAAATTCATTCAACTATGTAGGGACCTGTGGTATACTAATAGTAATAGTAATTAACAATAATAATAATAATAATAATGATAATAATTTATTGGTAATGATAATGACAATATTTTGATCGTATGCGTTAAGAAAAAGATGGATGCTTAGCCGTAACTGTATAGGTGATAGGAGAATTATTGAGAGCTAAGAACTTGAAATAAAAATTCTCTTCGACTCGGAACAGGGTGCTGAATATGAATTGAATGATAGTCGGTAAGTTCAGATCAGGAAAAGAATGGGTCAATTTGAATAGCCCAGATTAGGCTCCATTTTGATGAGATGGTAGCAGCAGCAGCAATTGCAATGAAACAGTGATAAAAATGATAGTGTTGGTAATAATCATTATAACGATTGTTCACATAATTACTCATGGAGACCGGTCGCTTTCAGATTCTGATTAACAATATGTGCAACAGCTGAGCCGAATACCAAATCGATGTTACTCGTATCAGTTGCGGTCGTAACAAATGCGAAATATTTTTGCCTATTCGGAACACAACGTTGAAATTGCTTTTGCAAAAATTTTGTACAATCTTCAACCGATTCATCACCTGAAGTATGCATATTTTTGCAACCAATCCAAAAAATTTGTAAATTTATTTCCATTCTTCATGCATGTATCTTCTTTCAAATAAGTTTGTAGTAATAAGAAGATTACGTTGATCAAAATAATCATTCGATCACATATTTGAATGCGGTAAATTCATTGCGGTATTTGAAATGATTCAAAGGAATGCAAAGCAAACAAAAAGCTAAACGAATTTGGTGAATAATACCGTTGTATTCTGGCCAACACTTCTTCAGTGACGCGTATTTGATTTTTTCTTGAAATATATCGAATTTGTTTAGAAACAGTACAATAGAAGCATTTTTGAAATAGTCGCTTTGTACGATCGTTTTGAAGATTTGTTGACTTTGAATCATTCGATTCTAAAAGAAATATATATCAAAGAACATTTGATTGCCACCTGAGACAAAGAGCATATTGCATTTGTATGAAAATTGTCGAGCTTTATAATGCTAAGAACAAATTGATATATGACATCGTGCCTACCTGAGTTTCATCCTCTGGATCACCTTGATCGAATTCACTCATCGCGACCACAAAAAGAACCATATTAACATTATCGAAGCAATGAATCCATTTCCGCCTTTCTGAACGTTGCCCTCCAACATCGACCATCCTACAGCAAGCAGTTCATCGAATGCTAACTGCTGTTCAATTAATGCTATCACAATGACTATCTTTATCAACCCTCCGAAATCATACCGATTATGCACAAAGAAGAAATTTTCTGGAAAGTTCACCTGAAGTCAAGTTTTTTGTACATGAAATTGATCTCATGAATACCGGTCGTACGGAATCGACACTGCAAAATGTCTTGTGTAGTCGGTGAATAATTCTCTTCGGTGATTCGTTCAATACTGTCAAGAAAACTGAAAAAAAAAATAACAGCGGTAATAAATTTTGGAATTTCATCATTCTCAACACTCTCACTAGCAATGCATTCATACGACATTTGAAATTCGGATTGTTTGTTATGTTAATTGTTGTTTTTTGAAAGCATTCTTCGGTGATTCCGTGATACAGAAACAACAATGGTCGCTGAAGTCAAAGAGTCTGTTAGCTTCCAGACGCTGAGACTAAAAAGTTTTGAGTTGAAATTTGCCTCTCTTGCAGTCATTCATCAACAGATATACTGTAACCTAGACAGTATTGATGTGATAAAATAGAAACAACTAACTATTTGGCGCTGTCCAATAACTGATAACTAAAACGCCTCGTATAAACCAATTGTATCGTAGTACTTTGCCAAATACGTTGAATGATACCGACCATCTCTTTCGGAAGATGGATCTCGGCAGTCGATTTGTTAATTTCTTCATAATAATGCAAAAACTTGTTGACCTTTTCCTGCGAAGTACAATCATGGAGAGTAATTATGTTACAATATATCATTCAATGAATTGTTTTTATATGGTTCGTGAATGGATGAATTGTTAATTTTAATGAGCCGCTTATTCAGTGTTGTCTGCTCGTTTGATGTTCATAAACTACTTTATATTTCCTAATTGAGCTTTGATTTGTTCTTTTTTCTTAGAAAGGAATTAACTGTCGATTAATTACTTGTTTTCTTTTTCATTAGACTATCCGAAATCTTCGGCCTTCTAAATGCATTTAATGTGGTGAGCTGATCAAATTATGTATTGTTCATGGTTGTATTCAATTTTTGAACTGACTGGAAAATTTCTTCAGCTTCATAGCTCCACTGTAGTTGCTTGCTATAGAGTTAAGCTTGTGTTCTCACTAGCAACAGTATCGTTATCATTATCAGTGCTGCTGCATGATAAAACCTAGTTTGATTATTAACAATTTACTTTTCATACGTTTTTTCCGGTGTTTTCAAAACACAAAATCAACTGATTCCATAAAGATTTGCACAAGACTAACTGTTGCTCAATCAGTCATTGAGCAACAGAAATTCTTGAGGAATGATCATAAATGGAATGAATATAATCTGCTTTCGAAACGAAAAACAGGTATTGTAAAAATGCTGCTAATCATTACAGTTGACTACAGCAATTTTATGATAACATAAGATGCGAATAAGTTGATAAACTTATTATGTGATCAAGTTGCTTAGTTATTGATAAACTTCCGGTGAATTTCTCAAAATTGAGTATTGTTCTTAACAAAGATTTATTGAGCGTTTCATTCCTTGACCAAGAGTCTTGGAAATAAAACATATAGCAGTATCTATAGCAGCCAGCTAGGTAGATGATTTCAGAATTTTGTTCGGCTATAGAGCACCACCGACGGATGATGTGTTTTCAAAATGATTATAAAGAATACAGTTGCTTGTCAACAAATTAGTCATACCTGAATAACGTATTCATGCACAATGCGAAACGTCTCACATGCGCTTAACATTTGCGCTATGGAATCGACAACATTTCTCAAGATTGAGTATTTGTAACGTTGTTTGTCATCATTCGAAAAGCCATCCAAATGCAAAATTCTAAATTCATCAATTCATTGAGTACGGCACAAACTATGCAATGTTGATTCAGAGACAGTCTACGGGAAACTCGTGTGCATTTGAATTATTGAAGAAACTTGTCGCATCTAACGCTAAAAGGTTACATAAATGGATGATGTGGACTGTGCGTAAATAAATTTGAAAGGAGCAGGTTGTGACTGAGATCACACTGTGCTATGGAGATCCGGTGAGCTCAGACGGCGTACGTTCAATTTCGCTTTGGTCAAAAGTCTTTGTTGAATTTCGATATTGTTGTTAAATAGATTTGAAAAACAGAGAGAAGATGAAAAGGGCTCAGTTTCGATAGAATTTGTGTTTTGCACGTGTTTTTTCTTTCTAGAAATTCCGTATACGCACATATATTTGCTCGTGGAAGTAACGAAAGTTTTCAACAATTCATATTGCAATGTATGCCTACGAAAATTACAATTTACCAACGAAAAACTGTAAGCCTTACCGCATCTGCTTGAAAATAGTTGTTTTCCCGCATTCTGAACCACCTGCAGTTCAATTTATGATCAATTTTCATTCAGCTCAAATCGAAAGTATCGCATTCACAGCGATGATGAAAGATGAACATGTATGAAATAAAACAGATTGAATGGAAGAAATGCTTAACGAGAAAAAAATTGTTAAGATTATACCAAGAAGGAGAATTTTGAAAGTGTTCATCGATGACATTTTCTCTTTTTGAATATCGCGATCAATCTGTCGTGATGTTGCTTTTCCGGAGCATTGGCGTTGTTCTGCCTTCGGTTGTTCAGCATTATGACTGCTGTTGCTTGCACCACTTCCCATGACTGGGACTACTGAATGTTGCATTTCACCTTATTTCCAAACAAACAAAACCGCTATTATTCAGAGTGTGACAAGAATTGATAAACCGAACAAACTCACAGATAAATTGAAGCGACACATTATTCCTCACTAGTCATATATTACATGCATCAACCTTCAGTACTGTAACCAAAGGTGAACTTATAATTGCTGATCATTAACGAAATAATAATTGCTGATCATTTACAAAAGCACCATTTCAATCGGACAATATTCTTCACTCGTTTTTAATATGACTGAAATATTCAATGTTAATAATTAACAATATTTGCTCAAAATGTTTGATCTAATCTAAACAACAATGCCAGTAGCTAACTTGTAAAATCGAAATAAAGGAATGAATGCGAGAAAGGATCTCTTCATATCATCAGCGAATGATCAGAAGCATCACAAGAATCAATCGGGCGAATTTGAAGATCTTAAGCGTAATCTTCATTTTTGTTTTACTGTTCCGTTCTCTAGGTCATCGACGTTATATTCAACCAAAAACTAATTTGAAATCACCCAACAAATAAATCCAATCAATTTACTACTAATTCTAAATGATTAACAACGGTAACACATTCTTCTTCATTGCGCAGCTTTACTCACTTCATTGTTTCTTAGCCGTTCTCAGCTGAGCTCAACGGTTGTTCGCATGTCTCACGCACGTAACGACAATTTGTCGAGACACACACACCAACGAAAGAAAGTGGCTGGTTGCTAAGGAGGAGAATTATAGTATGGATTGTGGTGATTATGATGATGGTGCTGATGATAATGCTGATGCTGCTAGTGATGAGTATGGATAAAGCATGCACTGTTAGCGTTACAGCACAATCGTATCAAAACTTTGCCATTATTCTCCTATATCAGTTTATCTATCCACTCGTTCACCTATCTGTCTGTTAATGCAAAATCTGTTCCTCGTATTCGTCGTTGTCATATCAAGTGTGCATAAAATGAAGTTTATATTTTATCATACGATATCACAATATCACATCTGTTCGCATTTGATTCGTTCGTTCATTAATAAAGTGCGTAATGCTGAATAGAGCAAATAGTATTCATTAGGTAGGGCGTTTTCATGAATTGATTACCTGAATTGGAGCAGCCGAAAATGTATTTGTTTCGATGGCTCTTTGCTCACGTGATCTAATTTTAAGCTACCGCTTGAGATCACTCACACAAGACTCTATCATCGTAGTAAACTGTTTTGTGGGGTTTTTTGGTGATGTGCGTTTATATTAGTAAATGTATATTACTCCTCAGAAGAGGATGTTTTGACTCAGATTTGAATTACTTGAAAGCACTAATTGAGCAGCAGTTATTATTCTGAATTATTCCGAAATGGTTGTTGAAGTCATGTGTAATTATCCAATAAATAATGATTCATTTTATTGCATTTCGAAATCATGGCATAATTATGATAAGTTGCTTTCAGAAATGGTAAGTAGATAAGTATTCGGTAATTGTAACGACTATACGCACTTGTCGTTAATCTTTAATCTCAAACTTGGGTAATTGAACCATAGCCATAGCATTCATAGGAAAATGTAATCGATAATGATAGCGACGTAAACAACGACATTCATAATG